GAAAGTGTCCGGACTGGAAGGGGGGAAAGTGTCCGGACTGGAAGGGGGGAAAGTGTTCGGACTGGAAGGGGGGGAAAGTGTCCGGACTGGAAGGGGGGAAAGTGTTTTCGGACTGGAAGGGGGTGAAAGTGTCCGGACTGGAAGGGGGTGTTGAAAGTGTCCGGACTGGAAGGGGGGGAAAGTGTCCGGACTGGAAGGGGTGAAAGTGTCCGGACTGGAAGTGGTTAATTTAATTTTATGTGGCAGATGTTGTCTAGAAGGTGTAACAACCATTACTTGTAGATGTGGTGTCATGGGTGTCATGCAGTGGTTTGATTATTTTCTCTTCCCTACAGGCTGAGGATAATGTAGCTGGAGCCTTGGCCTGCACCAAGATCCTGAAGGCTCTCTATAAAGAGGAGGAAGATACCAAAGAAATAGAGGACATGACAGCACTGGCAGACATTTATGAGGAGCGAGCTGCAGGTAACATAAATGTGTTAAGATCACAGCTTACCATCTAATAGAGAACAGGAGGTATGAGGGTCCCGATCATTACAGATTACATCTAATAGAGAACAGGAGCTATGAGGGTCCCGATCACTACAGCTTACATCTAATGAAGAACTGGAGGTATAAGGTTCATTTTCATTACAGCATGCAGTCTAATGCAAAACAGTAGCTATGAGGGTCCTACTCTCACTACAACTTACTGTCTATTAGGAAACAGAAGATATGAGGGTTCTACATATTACAACTTACTGTCTATAAGGAAACAGGAGCTATGAGGGTCCTACTCATTACAACTTACTGTCTATAAGGAAACAGAAGCTATGAGGGTCCTACTTGTAGCAAGCGTACACCCAGAGATGGACGCGGTTCAATCACAGTGACATCTGGTTGTGTGTGTGTGTGTTGGAAGTGTCACAGGCTGGTCAGGCTACAGCAGGAAGCTCCGAGCTATAAAAAAATTTTTGAGCTGGGGTGCCGGGAAGGCTGGGAAGCTGAGTAATCTGATGCCTCGTTAAAAAGATAACCCAAGCCTTCCCCTGAGTTCAAAGACATTCCAGAGGAGTAGAGACTAGATAAAACTGCTAAAATCCATTTTTCCCTTATGTCTCATATCTTGGAATATGAGAGACTTACCGTATTTTCCGGCATATAAGACAACTTTTTTAACCCTTGAAAAACTTCTCAAAAGTCGGGGGTCATCTTATACGCCGGTATATGGCATGCTGACACTTGGTGTCAGGGCGGCACTTTTTTAGGGGGGTGGCCCCTAAGTACAGGGGTGGGCAGGGGCTGCTGTTTCTTACCTGGCTCCGGTCCTAGTCCCACAGCGATCCAGTCCAGGAAGCGCGGCTGCTCCTTCATTCAGTTCGGCCACTGGATGTTCAGCTGCTCGGCTCCGCCTCCTCACCGGTGATTGGCCGCCAGAACTTTAGCTCAGAAAAGGCACACAGGCGGCCAATCACACCCCACCCCAACTGACACCAACGATGGGGCACTATTCCCCCCCCCCCACTGACACCAACGATGGGGCACTTATCCCCCCCCCACTGACACCAACGATGGGGCACTATTACACCCCCCACTGACACCAATGATGAAACACTATTCCTCCCCCCCCCACTGACACCAAGAATGGGGCACTATTCCACCCCCCACTGACACCCATGATGGAACACTATTCCTTCCCCCACTGACACCAATGATGGGGTACTATTCCTCCTCCCACTGACACCAATGTTGGGGACACTATTCCTCCCACTGACACCAATGACGGGGCACAATTCATCCCACTGACACCAAAGACGGGGCACTATTCCCCCCACTGATACTAATGATGGGGCACTATTCCCCCCACTGATACTAATGATGGGCCACTATTCCCCCCACTGATACCAATGATGGGCCACTATTCCTCCCACTGATACCAATGATGGGGTGCTATTCCTCCCACCTGACACCAATGATGGGGCACTATTCCTGCCACTGATACCAATGATGAGGCACGATTCCTCCCACTGACACCAATGATGGGGCGCTATTCCTCCCACTGACACCAATGATGGGGTGCTATTCCTCCCACTGACACCAATGATGGGGTACGATTCGTCGCTCTGACACCAATGATGGGGCATGATTCCTCACTCTTACACCAATGATGGGGCATGATTCTTCCCACTGACACCAATGATGGGGCACTCTTTCTCCCACTGACACTGATGGAGTACTATTCCTCCCACTGACACTAATGATGGGACACTATTCCTCCCACTGACACCAATGATGGGACACTATTCCTCACACACTGACACTAATGATGGGGCACCATCATTGGTGTTAGCGGGAGGAATAGTGTCCCATCATTGGTGTCAGTGGGAGGAATAGTGCCCCATCATTGGTGTCAGAGCGAGGAATCGTGCCCCATCATTGGTGTCAGTGGGAGGGAATAGCACCCCATCATTGGAATACCATACTGAAATACCATACCATATTGAAATCAAATCTGATGTTTAATTTTTATTTACAAAATGGGTTGTCAGGCCTAAGAGAAGTTAAGTTGAAGAATTCTCCCTTTTAACATCAGAACCACCTTGGGAGACCGTGCCCTTTTGCTCTGAAACTTGATCTGCTTATCCCAGGACTTTGGCAAGTACTTTACCTTCTAACTTCTCTGTTATCTCCTTGCTGTGCTATTGTTCTCTGTGTATTTTTATATATTATATATATATATATATATATTGGTTATATCTTTTTTCTGTAAATATTTTTATTGCACTCTTTTGACCTTTTAGTACTAAATCTTTCTTTCTGAACTGTTTCTAAAGCTCCTTAATGCAATTTACGAATTCCTGACTCTAAAAGAGCGCTACTGTGTGTATTTAACCCTCTGTATAACCTGTCTGCTGTGACCGTGTTATGCAGATGATTATCTCAACCATTATAGTGTGATTGCTGAGTTTCCTCTTTCTCTGTACAAAAAGGAGGTGGTGGCAGTGTGAAGGGTTAATTGCGTAATTAACCTGACCCAGTAACAATTGCTCCCAGGCTGTTGGTACATCAATTTGTGGTCCATTAGCTGGAAAATCATTGTGCAGGGTGCAGCTGGGTGTGGCATTGTTACGCACGTGACATTGCGGTTTCAGATTGGCTAGTCCTTCGGTTACGAGTTTGGTGAGAAGGGCTGGGGGTCTGACGCCGCGATCGTCACACTACTCACTACAACTTACTGTCTATTAGGAAACAGGAGGTATGAGGGTCCTACTCATTACAACTTACTGTCTATTAGGAAACAGGAGATATGAGGGTCCTACTCAGTACAACTTACTGTCTATTAGGAAACAGGAGATATGAGGGTTCTACTCATTACAACTTACTGTCTATTAGGAAACAGGAGCTACGAGGGTCCTACTCATTACAACTTACTGTCTATTAGGAAACAGGAGCTACGAGGGTCCTACTCATTACAACTTACTGTCTATTAGGAAACAGGAGGTATGAGGGTCCTACTCATTACAACTTACTCTCTGTTAGGACACAGGAGATATGAGGATCCTACTCATTACAACTTACTGTCTATTAGGAAACAGGAGATATGAGGGTCCTGATTCTTACAGCTTACATCTAATAGAGCAGAAGAGAAATGATCCTATGTTTTACAGCTTACAGTCTAATAGAGAACAGAAGGAATGTCACGGAGGCCTAAAAAAGAATGTAAACAGAACATTTAAATTAAATGTATATTTGTAAATCTTTTCTTCATTTCTGGCAATAATTTTCTCAATCTAACTTAAGCCAAAGTTTTTCTTTATGGATGAAAAGGTGACTATAGCTGCTTTATCAACCTCTTAATACAAAGGAACCCTTGAAATAATTTTCATGTCTCGGGAACCCCTGCTAAAGTAATACAGCACATCTCTAGCTCACGGAACATTTGCACGATCAGCGCATTGTAAACATAATAATACTAAAAAGAATACAGATTGTGGAATACCTATCAATTTTGACATCTGGAGCAGACCCCTACTAAAAATTTTTAGTGACAATCATGAAATGGAACAGATAATAATAATACTGGTTAGAAAAAAAAAAACACCAGCAGTAAAACTCAAAGTGCCCCTTACATTTGTGGTCAGTATAAAAGTGGCTACTTATATTGTTAGTTGGATTAGTGGTCCCATACATTGGTGGCCAATGGAAGATGGACACTCTTACACTGTTGACCAGTGGGAAAATTGCCTCCTTCCAGAGAGCTAGATAGAAACTCTTCATTATTATTATTATACAGGATTTATATAGTGCCAACAGTTTGCGCAGTGCTTTACAGACTGAAGGCAGACATTACAGTTACAATACAATTTAGTACAAGAGGAGACAGAAGGCCCGGCTCGTTAGAGTTTACAATCTAAGAGGAAGGATTGAGTGATACAAAAGGTAATAGCTTTGGGGGGATGAGCTGATGGAGGAAATACATGGTGGGTTTACTAGATAGAAGGATAGACTTCTTTAAAGAGAAAGGTTCTCGGGGATCATCTAAAGGTGGATAGAATAGGAGACAGTCGCACAGCTTGGGGTAGGGAGTTCCATAGGATGGAAGAAGCTCGGGAGAAGTCCTGGAGCGTGAGGTGACACGGAACCTAGAGAGCAGAAGGTCTTGGGAGGATCGAAAGAGAGCGGTTTGGTTGATATTTTGAGACTAGGTTGGTGACGTGGCTGTGGGTAGAGTTGTGGATGGCTTTGTAAGTTGTTGTTAGTAGTTTGAATTTTATTTGCTGGGCGAGTGGAAGCCAGTGGAGGTATTGGCAGAGTGTGGTGGAGGACACTGAATGGAGGCCAGTAGAGGGATTGGCAGAGAGAGGGGGTGGAGGACACCGAGTGGAGGCCAGTGGAGGGATTGGCAGAAAGGAGTGGAGGACACTGAGTGGAAGCCAGTGGAGGGATTTGCAGAGAGGGGTGGAGGCCAATGGAGGGATTGGCAGAGAGGGGTGGAGGACACTGAGTGGAGGCCAGTGGAGGGATTGGCAGAGAGGGGTGGAGGACACTGAGTGGAGACCAGTGGAGGGATTGGCAGAGAGGGGTGGAGGACACTGAGTGGAGGCCAGTGGAGGGATTGGCAGAGAGGAGTGGAGGACACTGAGTGGAGGCCAGTGGAGGGATTGGCAGAGAGGGGTGGAGGACATTGAGTGGAGGCCAGTGGAGGGATTGGCAGAGAGGGGTAGCAGACACTGAGTGAAAGCCAGTGGAAGGATTGGCAGAGAAGGGTGGAGGACACTGATTGGAAGCCAGTGGAGGGATTGGCAGAGAGGGGTAGCAGACACTGAACAGTTGGTAAGGTGGATGAGCCTGGTAGCAGTATTCATGATGGACTGGAGGGGGGATAACCCCCCCTGTAAAGGTAAGTCAATGAGGAGGGAGTTGCAGTAGTCGAGGCGAGAGATTACCAGGGAGTGATTTAGGAGCTGTGTGGTATCATTGGTTAAAAAGGGGTGTATTCTGGAGATGTTGCGGAGGTTGAGGTGGCATGGTTTGGACAGGGACTGGATGTGAACCTGAAAGGATAGTTCAGAATCCAAGGTTACACCTAGCACCCTGGCATGCAGGGTGTTAGATCCCGCCAGGTGGTGCCCCTGGCTGCCCACTTGACAGACCTACCCAAAGCGTGGAGTCTAAGTCCCGGTCTGTGCTTTCACCAGGGCCCTGATGGTGGGGATGGACTTGAAACAGACCGGGACCAGGTCACGACCTCCGAGCAGGCCCACCAGTGGCAGGGGCAACCTCCGGGGATGTATTGGTACCGGGAGAGGAGCCAGATGTGAGGAGGACGGCAGGACCTAGCAGGATGGATCACGAGCGGGGTCCCGTGGGGTAGGCGAGGTACAGAGTCGGCAGGCGGAGAGTAGTCAGGTCACACGCAGGGTCAGCAGGATAAGTCAGTCCGTAGAGAGGTCAAAACAAGCCAAGGGTCAGGATGGGAGAAGGCAGAGTAGTCAGGACAATCCGGGGTCAACACAGGAGTAGGCAGCGTAGTCAGGGTCAATCAGGGTCAAAAACACAGGTACAGGACTCAGGAACTCAGATAGACCTTGCGGCGATTACTGACAGTGCAGGGCATCTTTAAATATTGCGCCCTGCACTGTCATTGGCCGCTCGGGACGCGCGCCCCCGGGCTGTCATTGGCCGCCCGAGGCGCGCCCGCAGGTCCCACTGCGCATGCGCGGCATCCTGTCATCCACGGCTCGCCGGGACCTAGTGCCTGTGTCCCGGCGTGAGCCGTCGCCAGTGCGCAATGCGCCGGCCGACAGGACGCCGCGATCCCTGACATTGACCCCCCCCCCCCTATGGGCACCCTCCGGGAGCCCCACTGATCTCTCCACCGCGGGTGGCCACGAAAAAATTCCCGGATGAGCCTGGGGCGTGAACATTCTGGATGGGTACCCAAGAATTCTCCTCAGGGCCATAACCCTTCCATTTTATCAGGAACTGCGTCTGGCCCCCCCTCTTTCGGCAACTGAGAATAGTTTCTACCTCATATTCCTCCTGGTCACCTATGGCGACTGCCTCAGGAGGTCTGGATTGGCGATCCGGGAAGGAATCTGGTCTGGATGGTTTCAGGAGAGAGACACCGGGTGTATTTTGAAAGACTCCGGGAGCTCAAGTTCGTAGGCCACTTCATTGATCACTCGTTTAATTGGAAACGGTCCAAGGTACTTCGGTCCTAACTTCCTGGAAGGACACAGCATTTTCAGTTGGTCGTAGCCAACCAAACCTGATCCCCCGGCTGGAGCAACAGCTCTCCTCTTCTCTTCCTGTCGAACGCCTTTTTACTATCTTCTTGGCCTCCTGAATCGTTTTTGTTATTGACAGAAAAGAAATGCAAGACATCTTGAGATGCGGGTACCGGACTTTCGGGGCGTTAGGTCGGGGAGAAACGTAGGATGATATCCGAAATTGGTAAAAAACGGTGATTGTCCCGTCGCTGAGTGGCTCGAGTTATTATAGGCGAACTCTGCAGAAGGCAAACAGTGTTAGCCAGTCATCCTGGAGATAGGAGGTGTAGCATCTGAGGTACTGTTCCAATGTTTGATTGATCCTTTCTGTTTGCCCGTTGGTCTGTGGATGGTAAGCAGATGACAGTGACAGTTTGATTCCTAATGCTTCACATAAGGCTTTCCAGAATCTAGATGTGAACTGGACTCCCCGATCCGATACTATGTCTTCGGGTATCCCATGTAGCCTTACTACTTCCTTGATGAATATCCGTGCAGTCTCCGGTGCCGACGGGGGTTCTTTCCAAGGGCACGAAATGAGCCATCTTTGAAAAGCGATCCACGATCACCATTTATAGCAGTGTAGCCTTGAGACGATGGGAGTTCGACTACAAAATCCATGGCAATCATTTGCCAGGCCCGTTTGGGTATCGGCAATGGACGCAACAATCCCCAGGCCTTGCTTCTGGAGGGCTTGTTCCTTTGGCAGGTGGGGACAGGTCTGGACGTAGCGCTCGCAGTCTTTGACCATGTTTGGCCACCAGAATGAGCGCCGTAGTAGCTCCAGAGTCTTCGCCACCCCAAAGTGCCCTGCCATTGGATGGTCGTGGCAGTGCCCCAGGACGAAAGTTTGAACTCCTCCTGGCACCACGATCCAATTTTCCTTCCAAAGCAGACCATCGCGGTTCTGGAGAGGCGACCCAGGCGGGACTGGCAGTCCAACGGAAGCGTCAATCAGTCTGGAGCGAAGGTCCGTTTGCAGGACGAGGAAGCTTCCGGATGGCAAAATTGTGTCAGGTAACACTGTATCGTCGGGGTCCTCAAACATGCGGGACAGAGCGTCTGGTTTTGTATTTTTAGACCCAGGTCGGTACGTTATATGAAAGGTAAACTGAGAGAAGAAAAGAGCCCATCTCGCCTGGCGTGGTCTCAGTCGTTTCGCCGTCCTTAAAATACTCGAGGTTCTTGTGATCCGTGAATATTAGGATTGGGTGTGTGTGGCTCCTTCCAGGAGATACCTCCATTCTTCTAGAGCGGACTTGATGGCCAGGAGTTCCCGATCTCCAATATCGTAATTGCGCTCCGCCGGACGTCAACTTCCTGGAGAAAAACGCCACGGGATGCAGTAACTCCTTGGTACCACTCCTTTGGGAAAGAATCGCTCCTACCGCATTTTCGGAGGCGTCCACTTCCAAAACATATGGAAGAGAAGAATCTGGATGGCAGAGAATGGGAGCAGAGGTAAACAATTTCTTGAGCGTGTCGAAACGCGGTCTGGGCTTCAGGGGTCCATTTAAAACGAGTCCCTTGTTTAGTCAGTTGCGTGATTGGGGAGACCAGCCCTGAGAAGTTCCTGACAAAACTTTCTATAAAAGTTTGCGAATCCAATGAAACGCTGTACCCCCCTCTTATCGGTGGGTGTTGGCCAATCTAAGATCGCCGTGACTTTCTGGGGATCCATCGTGACCCCCCGCGGGAGAGAGGACCAGTCCCAGAGAACGTTATTTCACACTGTTCAAAACAGCATTTTTCTGCCTTGGCGTAAAGCCCGTGTTGGCGTAAACGTGTTAGGACCCTTGCCACATGCTCCCTATGAGCCTCCAGTGAGGGTGAAAATATCAGGATGTCATCTAGGTAGACAACCACGAAGACATCGAGGAAATCACGAAAGACATCGTTAATAAAGTGTTTGGAAGGTGGCTGGTGCGTTACAGAGCCCGAACGGCATCACCAAATATTCGAAATGACCGAATCTCGTACGAAAGGCTGTCTTCCATTCATCCCCCTCCCTGATACATACAAGGTTATATGCCCCCCGCAAGTCAAATTTAGTAAAAATCGCTGCTGACCCTAACCTCTGGAGGAGCTCAGGACTAGGGGTAACGGATAGCGATTTTTTACTGTTATTTTTTTCAGGTCTTGGTATTCAATACAGGGCCGTAACGATTTGTCTTTTTTTTCTACAAAAAACAACCCAGCCCCGGCCGGGGACGTGGACGGGCGAATAAATCCCTTCCGCAGATTGTCATCAATATACTCCCTCAAAACCCCTGATTCTAGTTCCGATAAAGGAAAAATGCGACCGAATGAAATCTCAGATCCGGGTAGGAGGTCTATGGGGCAATCGTAGGAACGGTGTGGGGGAAGAATGTCTGCTCCTCGCTTACTGAACACATCTAAGAAATCGTGGTAGGCCGGAGGGATAACCTGAGACAGATCCGTATCACCATCCATGCATAGGAGAGAAACCGGGGAGGCACGGGCCCTGGGACGTGGCAGTGATCCCGGCAGTATGGTGACCGAAACTGAACCGTTCCCTTCTCCCAATCAACCTGGGGGTTATGGGCCCGCAGCCAAGGAAGCCCCAGAATGATTGGGAAAGGGGGGATGCGATGGCATCCAGACGGAGGAACTCCTGATGATGGTCAGCCATCGTGGTAAAAATAGGGGGAGTCTCCTGATCCACCACTCCCGACTTTATGCTAGACCCGTCTGCCAGGAAGATGTTAAACCCCCTTTCTTTGGTCTGGAGGGGAATCTTTTGCCGGTGAGCAAAAGTAAGATCAATGAAACAACTACATGCTCCCGAATCAATGATTGCGGTCACCGACAGGGTTCCTCCTCCGGGAAGCTGTAACGACACAGGTATTGCCAGGTAACTAGATAGGTCACCCCTTTCTGTAGGTAAAGGAAAACAGGAAGCAGACTTACTCATTTTTGCAGGACAGGAGCGCACCTGGTGACCAGCTTCCCCACAGTACAGACATAGGTTCTGCAATCGTCTCCTCTGACGTTCCTCGGCCGATAAAGTGGAACGGGCCAGTCCTAGTTGCATGGGTTTCTGAGGTGTCCCCTGCTTCGGTGCTCCGAGCATGGCTCCCTGGGGTTGGAGCTGCTTCTCTCGGTGGGATCCATGCCACCCTTTGACCCTGGCTACTCCTTTCCAGGCGACGCTCTCTCAGTCTGCGGTCAATTTGGATGGCCAACTCTATCAGTTTCTCAAGAGAGTCCGGTAGTCCTACTCGTGCTAATTCGTCTTTTAGAGACTCAGAAAGCCCAATGCGGAACTGGTGACATAATGCCGCATCGTTCCATCTGGTATCTCCCATCCAATGCCTGAAATCAGACGCATACTCTTCGGCCGCCCGGCGGCCTTGCCGCAGAGAGTATAGAGTAGCCTCTGCAGAGGCAGCCCGCTGGGGGTCGTCATATAGGACGGCCATGGCCTGAAAGAACTCAGTCACGGAATCGAGATGGGGGTCACGCTTCTCCATCAGGCGGTGAGCCCAATCCTGGGGCTCATCCTGAAGGAGAGAGATTATAAAACCCCACCTTGACGGTCCTCGACGGAAAACGTGCGGGGCTGCAGGTCAAAAAATAAAGTGCACGCGTTCCGGAAGGCCCGAAAACGGCTTCGGTCTCCACGGAATCGTTCCGGCAGGGGAACGCGGGGTTCGGGAGCTAGGGGTGCCGCAACTGCTCCGGATGCTGGAGCAGCGGGTGATTCCGCTGTTGCGGAACTTGGAGCAGGGGGAGTCTGGGTGGCAAACGACTCCATGCGGTCCTCAAGC